ACGTGGAAGCTAGAGTTTAATTTAAAATACTTAATTTATCCCTATTGGATCCCTAAGAAAAATATATATGGTCATTAGGATTATATGCTCTAAATTTAGCATTTAAACCTTCATTTATTATAAGGTCCTGGAAAAAAGTCTCACCATTCAAAAGGTGAACATCATATTATTAATCTAGATGTTATTTATGCACTGTCTTAGTTACTCTTCTCTCCTTGCTGAGACAAAATATCTGATACCCAAAGTTAAAAGGAGAAAGATTTAGTTAGTTCACAGTTTGTGGAGATTTCAGTCCATAATCAGCTGGCTCCAAGGCAGGGTGTCCTGGCAGGCAGGCATCATAGAGGAGAAACAATCCATGCTGGGCAGAAGATAACAAAGCAAACAAGGAATGGCCACAGCTCATTCTAGCCCTTATGTCTTATCCAGGCTACTCAGGGCAGGTAGCACTCACACCCTTAATCTTAGCACCCTTGATCCTAGCATTGCACCATGAATCAATCCCAGTTTCACGTACTCCAGAATCAGCCACCCTGAAAAACCCCACTCTGACTATACGAGGCTTTGACAGGGACATCTAGACACATGCCATAACTCACTGGATTATTTCTCTCCTTTTTATTATTCTTTTAAATTTTCCTTTGTAGAAAAAAATAATTCATCAGAGATCCAAGCTCAAAATATAGTCTTCCTAGGGCTTCCTTTCTTTAGCCACCACATGACTTCAGTCTCAATGTCTGGTTGACTCAGCCTCCTATGAGTGGACTATTTCCTCACTGCTACCCTAGGTTCCTTCTCAATACTTCTTGGCTACACTTCTGAATATTCTCTTAAATTGTCTCCCTGCTGTCTGCTTCCCCTGTATCTCCTCTCCACAGCTGAAACAACATGATATCTCTAAGATCAGTTCAGTCTCCTGTCAGTTCACTTACTGTTTTTTCTCAATACCTCTTGACTAAAATCTCAGCCTTTCAAGATGGCAGCAGGTTCGTAAGAAATAGTGTGCAGTGACCTTTAGAATTTTCTGCCTCCAGATATTTGTCTCCTAACAGAGTCCAACCTTATCTACTACTTTGTCAAACTGCTTATATTTCCTCTAACTGCCAGATTCCCTCACTCTAGGCTGTGTCTTACTGGTGGTGCTGGTGGCTGTGTCCTTTTTATTTTTTCTTATTCAGCTTGGAAAATATTCAGTACCCCATCGGAGACACAGAAAAATGCAGAAAAGAGACTTTCTGCCCTCATTTTCTTTCAGTAAAGGAAGAAATAAAATAAATGTTTAAGATGGACAGACTCAAAAGCAAAATCTCCATTCTCACTACAAATAGAAAATTTTCCCTTAGAAAACAGGCAAATAAAAGGTGGAATATAATAAGAATCAGATACTAAAATGAGTGGTTCCTTCCAACCTGGAACCCAAGCCTTAGCTCCCAGATAACAACATGAAAGTGGAGAGAAAAGACCCTGGGAATCTCTGTGCTACAGATCGGAGTGGAAGTTGTGCATTGTTGTGCCTGAGCGTGCCTGGGGTACAGACACTGAAGCCACCTGGCATGGAAGAGAGAAATGTGAGGTACATTTGTGGCTACTTAATACTGTGTAAATCTGCAAATGATTCAGACAAGATAATCTATTTTACTCTTATTTTGTAAAAGGACATTGAGGACCAATGAGTCTCTTATGTAAAATTCCCCAACATTTAGTACCACCTGGGGGAAAAAGAAGCAGTAGGTTATTTTTTGAATAAAATTGTGTCTGTCAGTCTACCAGAAATTTAGTTGAGTTGTAGCAAAAAACTTGTTTAAAGGGGGTTCCTCTTTGCTACATGAGTTTGAATCACAGTCTTCACAACAAACTAACAGATGTGTTTAAGCCTATGTTACTTTTCCCACCTACTTTAATCACAGGGCCCTTCACTAAATACTGCATAGCTCCCCTGGTGAGTCTGCTATTTGTACTGATTGACAGGTTTTCAACCAGGTAACTTTTGCCAATTAAACATGAACACACAAACCTCACAGCCTGGGAGTATCATGCTTACTGGTTTTAACTTCAGTTAGTTCTTGGTTTGATTTCAAATTCATCACATTTTAAGAAATTGAACATGTGATTTACAAGAAAAATCTTTACAAAGTTCCACCGCCACTTTGGCCCAAGTAAGAATGGCTGATCTACACCTTTCTCAGGTAGCTTATTGCTTTATATGGTACATTATAGATATTTGAGCAATTTTCTTACTTTCTACCCTGGCTTGTAAGTTGCTGAAGGATACTTATTTTTACGTGTTAAACACTTTTTTATCCGCCACAGAGTGGAGTGAACTTACTCAAAGGCAGAGGTATTCAGTAAATATTTATTGAACAAACAAAGAAAACACAGTAAGTCAGATTCCTTCACTATCCACTGTGTCTTGCTGTGAAGTCAAAATCAAAGATGCATATCAGATCCAGAATATATGAAGATAGAATTTGTGCCTGCAGTCGAGACAGACATGAATATAAAAAAGTGCTTCTTTCCTAAATATTTCAAATCTAGATATTTTTAATAGTGGTGTACCCTGGTAGGAGAAAAGCTCTCCTGGAAGTACTTGTATACAGCATGATATATTTGAAGATATGTGTGAGGTTTTTGGAAGTTCCACATCACTTTGGAAAATCTTCAGCTAGATTACTCATTCAGAGAGCTAGATCACCCTCCCCAGGCTGCTCTCTCTGTGTGCACAGGAGTCTGAGCAATGCTCTCTGGAAGACTGTCATACCATGAGGCTAGGCTCTGCATTTGACACCAGCTGCAATCTCCACATGGTTTACTGCTGCAGTTTCAGAAAAACACATCAAAATAGACACATCTGAACATGACAAATGTAGGGATCACTGTAGCAGAGTCCTGTGCTCTGTAGGAAAACATGCGGACAGTCAATCAGATGGAGGGTTTAAAAGGGCATCCTGGCCACCCAAGCAATCTGAAAACCATCAAAAGTGATAAATCTAGCGATACTCTCAGGTCATGTTCCAACTTCACAGTTTGAGTAAAACCAATGTTCAATTCCTGATCCAATTTCTCTCCTGCACATTGCCAAAAGTATAGTTTCTTTTTTGACAATGAGCATGATTTTTTAATATGGATTCCACTTATTCCTGCAAAACATTGAAGTCCACTAGGTTTTGTATTAGTCATTCTACATAAAACTATATTCAAGCTGTATATAATCTAAATGCTCGATATTCCCTCTTCATAGATCCGCTATTTATCAAAATGTCCGATGTTCATCATGCCCTCTGCCACTCATTTGTATCAGCAGTATCTGCCCGGACTGTGTCTACTGGATGCCTCAGCCAAATTGCTGTGACAGAAGGAAAAATGGGCTTTGTCATATATCACGTAATAGCTAGCAATAGATCATGATCTCCTAAAGTGGTGCCTCACAACGGTTTTAGTACTTTCAGTGCCTGCTCCGTCTTGGGCACTGTGTTTGGCAGTGAAGTTGGACTTGACGGGCTGTCCCACTCCCCTAAGTGGAAGTGTGGAAACTCACAATCTGGCAAGAGGACAGCCACGGAGACAGTGACTGCGGCCACCTTCCAAGTTACATGACACAAGACGAGGGGTGCCTGATGGACCCCTGCTCCAATTCCTAAGGAAACATGATGATGTGATATGGGACCGCTTAGCAGCCCTATAAATTATAACTATTATTTTGAAACCTGGGAAACAGCAACAACATGCTCAAAAAGTTCTGCGGCAGCCTCAAGGCAAAATAGCAGGTGTATACAAGGAGACATGGTGAGACTCTCCTGTTCGGTCACCAGTTCTGCAGTCAGTCACTTCCAGACAAACACACACACACAGGCATTTCTGTGACAGGGAAACTGGTCACTTCCTTAGAATATTGCACTGTATATCCAGTATTAGTATCTGAAGCTATTTTACCCTTCTTCCTACTCATAAATCTCTTAATTTATAATAATTCTTTTCTATTTCAACTTCTAAGAGCCCAGCCTGTTTGATGAAGGAAAAAAGAAGTATATTAGTGGTCCTTATTTGGCAGTTCCTGTAAGGGACTGTGTCTTTCTGAGGCTCAGGTAGAGTACAATCCAGCCCTTCTAGCTTACTGTTCATTGCATTGGGAAGAGAAATTCTATAAAGCCTTCCAGTTTCTTAGGAAAGAAGTTATTTATGATGCAAAATAGCAATAACTATTGCTTCTTCTTTTCTATAATTATGAACACTGATAGAAGTAAGATGAAAAACATCTTGAAGATTGTAGGGCAACCTATTAATTTTTGCTACCCCCTTTTCTTGGTGTTTTTCAAATTTTCTAAACTAAACTTATTATTATTCTGGCAACTTTAAAAAATAATGCTCTCTAAAATAATGTAGAGAATCGATTTAATGAGGTCAGTCTTATATTTTCAACAGACATAGGACAGCTGGGTTCTTGCTCTATTGGACTGATTCAAAGCTGATGCAGAATTCCATGTCCTACACGAGAACTGCCACAAGAGTCACCTGACTGTCAGACCAGCCAGGCTGGTGCACCAAGTGCTCAGAACAGGTGCCTCAGAAAGGGATGTAGGGAGAAGCAGGATTTTTAAAAATACAGTTTATTAGAACACAGCGTGTCTTCTGGGACTCAGAACAGTAGATAATGAGATAAGTTTTGATGCTGGTGTCATGGACACACTGTGAAATTTAATTTCAGATTTTAAGTTGAGTTTGTACCGAGACAGATAAAACAAAGTTAAGATATTCATGTCTTGGTTCAAGGTCAAATAGATTAATAATCAAGTCTTATACACAATATCAGAGGACAATTTCCTAAATAACAATGATATTAAGTGAGACTGAGGCTGGAACTAAGGAAAAGGCTGGACAGGAGAAGAAAGGCCACCCTTTGTAGAGCCTGATTGCTAGCCTAGAGCTGAGGTAGCTAAGGAAACAACTTGGGAGACAAAGGGAGTGCCTAAGTTGCAGCTCCCTTTCTAGAACTAGATCCACCTCCTAAGTTTAACATTAGTCCAGGACCAGGAGGACCAGTCTAAACACTGTGGGAAAAATAGCCAAGCAACTTAGCTCACACAAGGTAAGTCCCGTGGTGCTCACCCAATATCTTCTGAAATCTTTGGCTGACTCCATCCTTCATTACCATATCATTAACTATGGTATGTGACACTCCCATCCCCACTTTTCCCTATAGCCTTCCCAGTGGGGTTTGAATGACATGACAGCTCCTCTAAGGGCCATAAAGTCTCAAAAACTTCACTGTCCCACAGAACGGCTGCTCAGCAGCAGGAGTCATACCTCAGGCCAAACCCTCAATCCATCCCAAACTCAAGTTTAAACCCTCAACACCAAGCCCCACAACACTGGGAGCTCTTCTCACTGACCCACTCCCATGCATGGAGGGTATCTTGTCTTTGCTCTTTCAAACTACGCTTGAGAGTCCTGCTTTGTCCTCTCGGTTCCCTAGGATACCAAGAACTGGACAGACCCTGAACCCAGTAAAAAGATTACTGGCACACACATTTAGGTGGTAAATAAGAAAAAGAACCCATTTCACTTATGTTTCAAAAGTGTCCCAGCATCCTGGTCCTGGTAATATAAAATGCTGTCTAGTTTGGGCCAGGTTAACTTTTCTACTTATTCCGTGTTCACTGACTTTGCATGACAGCTTACTTGTAATTGGCAAGGTCCCTGGCTGCCTCCCACAAGCCTCAGACGCACCCTGTCCCTTCAACTGATGCTGAACTGCTTCATTCACTGTGAGTCTCGAGGTACTCAGTTCTTAGAAATTAAAACCAGGCCACATTCAGTAAGTGTGTTGAAACAGCCCATTGGCATGGAGGGAAATATTTAAATTCTACCTTTGTTCAGTAGATCTTTCGATGAATTGTAATCTTTTCCTGCAACCAAATGAAGTAGAGATAACTAATTTGCTTCTAGATCAAGAATAAACCAAATGCCTGACCTTTGGAAAGCCCAACAGTTCCTCAAGTCTTACTGACACCTGGTGGCTAAATCTCACAGACTTGCTCCAGACAAAGATGAGCTTTTTTCCCTAAGGAAGTATTCCCTGTTGCTGATAGTCACAGCGAAACTTTGTATTTTTTCATCTTCGAATATACTCATGGGCATTCATTCTCATACCTGAAAAGAGGTCGAAGTGAAGCAAAGTCCACAAGAAGCCTCAATTGATCTTGAATAAATTTTTACCTCATTTTCCTCTATGTACAAACAGACTAGTAAAAGTACTAGTTTTTAATTTCAATAATATGATACAGGTCCATTTGTGGTCCAATTATTTTTATCCAGATAACAAGCAACATAAGAATCATATAAATTCAGAGAAACTATAAACTAGTAAAAACCTCAACTCTTCCCATAGTTTTAATTTCCAAAGTTAAAATTTTAAACTTTAGAGTGCCGAGAAATCATCTTCTTCTTATTTTAAATGCACATGGACAAGACACACCCCTAGAGCACACTAATTCACTCATTCTTGGGGAAAGATCTGAACTACTGTTACCCTATTCTTGAATTAGAGTTTAGAAATCCCACTGGAACATAACTCTCACCCTTCTCTGTCATATGGCTTTCTCAGAATCTTAATACAGTATTCTGATGGAAATTTCCCACATTAATTATGTGTCATCAACCATTAATCCATGTCTCTATTTTCAAATAACATCATCCTGTTTTTCCTTTGGTGGACACCTCTGCAAGTCCAGGTATGTTCAGCTAATGTGATTGAGCAAAACCTGACATCATGCCCATTGGAGGGTCAAGCATGCCTGTGACCTGGGAAACCAGGGTATTCATTTCCCTTGGCTCAAGGATAGGTAGTTGATGGGAAATCAGAGGAAGTTTTACTGTGAGAATTGCTATAAGAATAAACACTACACCCATGGATTAATTTACATGAAAGAACATGACCTTGGGGGTGCTATTGGCAACATGAGTCACTCCAGATGAAAGACAAAATCACACACATTAGAGCAAACCTCAGGGATGGTGAAATGTAGAGCAGGGAAGTTCAAACTTTCCTTCTGAAGGTCTGGTAATTGAGTCTGCTGAAAGAAAATGACTATAGACAGATTACCTGGCAAAAAGACATACAAATTTATTAGAATGCACCTGTCCAGGTGAGCCACACTAAACATGAAACTCCAAAATGGTCAGATATTGGAGGTTTAAATACCCTCTTCATAAGTGCAAGGGAATGGGGGCTAGAGCTACTGTTAGAGAGTAAATAAATGACTTTTAGGGGAGATGGAAAAACAGATAATGACCTGGGAGCAAACTCCTTTGGGCTGTACATGCAGTGCTTCCTTTTTTAGACTCTTCCTCTGTGATATGAGTTTAATCTTCCTGAGTTAATGAAATTTCAGTAAGAAGATTGAAGGCTATTGTGCTCTTCTTTGACAGATCTGTTGCTGAGGTAGATAAGCGGCCTTCAGAGAAAGCCCTTCCTTGTGTTTGCTTTTCCCCAGGTGATCCAAAGGAGTTTGAAGTCCAAGGGAACTCATTTCGGGGTATCATCTTCTGACCCCCAACAATAGCCATCTGCAGACATTGTTGGAGCACATTATGCAGCTGTAATTGAAAGTAGAATCTCCTCTGCCTTTTCCTTTACATGTAGCCATAGACGCCAACTGTGTTTCTCGCATTTACAATGGCAGGTCTCGCAGTTCTAGTTGCCTGACACGTGGTCTGCCCTACCTCTGAGCACCTATGGTCCTCCTCCTCCATTTGAACTTACGAGGTCAAGGTAAAAATCAACATCTCTGTATCCAACTTATGATCTACTTACTTGATCCTTCTTAATTAATATTAAAGACAAAAGGCTAAATTATAAACAGATATCACTAAAATCCAAAGAATTATTAGGAATTATCCTGAGAATTAATACTCCAATAAATTGAAGACTATAGAATAAATGAATAAATTCTTTGACATTGATAAGTGCCCAATATCCCATTCTTTGCTTCCAAAAATGTTTCAATAATAGATACTAAAATCTATAATACAATATTCAGTATCTATAAATTTAATGTTTTACTTTCTCTGTTAATTTCATAAATTTTTTAGAAATATTTTTGTGGGGCTGGGGATTTAGCTCAGTGGCACAGTGCCTGCCTGGCAAGCGCAAGGTCATGAGTTTGATTCCTGGTACTGAAAACAAAAACAAAAACAAAAAAAAGGCAAAACAAAACAAAAAAAATTTTTTTTGAGACAGGATCTTGCTATGCAGTTCAAGCTGGCCTTGAGATCACTCTGTAGCCCAGGCTGGTCTCGAACTTGCAATGATCCTCTTGCCTCAGCCTCCTGAGTGCTGGGATTACAGGTGTGCACCACCACGCCTGGCTTTAATTTCATAAATTATCATATTAAATGTGTTGATATCACTAATCTTTGCACTCCTAAGACTAACTCATAAGATTTCTTCTCATAACTCATAAGGTTACCTTCTAATATAGTCCTAGGTTATAATTACCTTATATACTTTAGTTTGGATATCATACTTATGCTTATATGTTACATTTTCTACACCCTTTTGCATTACTTTTGTTATTTGCTATCAGGGTTTGCTCACTGGATAGAATGAGAGGATCTTAAACTTTGGAGCCAGATAGAACTTACAACCTCCTTCCAGGGTTAGTGGAATTTTTAGTTCCTATGATGTATTTTAGGGTGGTTTGTGTTTCTTTATTTATTGAGATGCTTCCCTGACAAAACTTTTCTTCTTGAGCACACTTTAATTAAGTCCCTCTACATTCTGCACCCAGCAAGGCTCTGTCACTGGTACATCCCCCAAAAGCCACATTTTAGAAAGAATCCTGGAAGTCATGGTAGCCAGAGTCCCTCGCTCCCAGGACAGAGCCCCTGTGGCAGTTGGTCTGGCTCCTCATTCTCCACCAGCCTCCTAGTGAATCTGATCACTCTGACCTCGCTTCAGCAACAATCCAGAAAGTAAGTTTTAGTGCTAATTCTCCCCGAACTCTGATGTTTTCTGTTAGTAATTTTTAATCCACTGACTGCTTCTTGAATATAAATTCCTACCTTCCTTTGTTATACATGAAGTTGGGCTTCATATCTTCCCACTATCACAAAATCCCCAATCCTTACATATATCATGATAGTTGCCCTACATACAGTCAGCCTACATTCTCATGAGTGATTTTCTTTTTCTTTAATGCTTCATCTTCAAGTCCTTTCTGCTTAGGGACCGATTGAGCAGGAACTCTACATGCTTAGCATAGACCTTGGTGTGGCACGTATGAGTGTGTGTTGCTACAGTTGTGGAATTTTTGTGAATCTGACTAAGCGTGAGTTATGAAAGCAAAGCTTTCTTTAAATTGCCAAAAATCAAATCAAATCAAATCAAATTAGCAAAGAAAATGTTAAGCTTTATTGTGAAGGAGCAAGTACAGGCTGTGATCCCCATGGGAGACCTAAAGTAGTTAGAAGTTCAGAGGCAGCTGTCAGCCGGTTGGCTTATATATGAAAATGGGGAAGTTTTTTTTTTTTATCTTTTTACCTTTATAGTAATTGATTTTTCAAGTAGAATTTCCAGACAGAAGAGAGTTAATTAATAATAACTATTTTTATTAGTTTTGAAGGGAAATGTAAGTTTCACTTTTGATTGTTACAGAAGTTTACATGAAATAGCTCAAGCTCAGTTTTTCTCAGATTTGCAAATCAAGCAAATTTAGGATTTATTTATGTGGCCTCACTGGGTTTGTCTGATTGGAGAATTCTCAAGTCCAATCTCCCTTTTAATTTTATTAAAACGAAACAATTTACCAAACTCCGTGTAAATATTCTCCCAAACCACAAGTGATCTCTCCACCTTGGGATCAAATCCACATGCTGACTTTCTTGTAACAATATTGTTAGCTAGATGCTATCCCTTTAGCTTCTCTAGAGGGGTTTCTCTCTGTTTCAGCTAACCGTTGTAACATGTGAAATAATTCTCCTTGTACTTCTGACAGAAGAGAAGCCTCACTTGAACTCAAACAGAGAAGTACACCTGTACCTGCAGTCGTCCCAGTCAGCTCAGGTTCAGTCATCCTGGCCAGGCAGCAGCATCACTCACCTGACGGAAACAGTGAAGTCTAGTGGGACCTCATGGTATTGCACGCCAAAGGTTTACCATGAAGAGGTTAAAATGTGCCATATTGTACAAAAGAATTTTAGTTCAGAGTTTAAATTGTGCCACTTCTGGAGCATATCTTCCATTAAACTTTCATTCAGTTTTAACAAGCCTCATATATTACAGAGTACTGCTGTATATTAAACATTAAAATGTAAATTTTATCTTTTAAGAAATGACAGGCTTCCCTGGGAAACATTCAGGTAAAGAAGTTGTACAGGTAAGGAAGATGTACAAAGGTGTGAAATGTTTTTAAAGCCTGAAAATCTTTACCTATGTTCTACTTTTACAAAAACAAAGGTATGAAAAAGAGACTAAAGAATCCACATATATTTGTAGATTTGGAGGTGAAGTCTTACTGAGTTTTTTCTCTATCATTAACAGAATGTTTAGTATACTCGTGAAAGTAAAAAGCTAGAAATAATACTTTAATATTCAAATGTTTCTGCCTCATTTAACTATACATTTTTCTTCTATTATATATACTCAGCTCATTTCTCTTATATATTTTTTTTTAAATTTTTTTTTGGTTTTTTTCCGGTACTGGAAATCGAGCTCACAACCTCGCGCTTGCCAGGCAGGCGCCGTGCCGCTGAGCTAATCTCCAGCCCCTCATTTCTCTTATAGATGGCATAAACTCTTCCATGAAGGACTATGTCTCACTTATATTCATATCATTTAATAAGCTTAGTATGTCATTCACAAATACAGTTTAAGTATTTTAAAAAAGAACTATCAGAAACATACCAGTGCCAAAGAATAACAGCAAGTTCAAATTAAATGGAAAGGTTAAAATATTCACAAGAATTTAGCAAACCCTAATGGTTAACATTACTATACAAACTTCAGTATATTGCTCTTTGTATAATATGAATGTTTCTCATCGGCTTGGTCATGCAAAGCCAAGTATCTCATTTATCATTGTCCAGCACATTTCCTTGAAATATTTATATCTTTCTACAGGTTTTTCTCTTTTCTTTATTTTGCTCTATTTCTGAATTAAAAGTTCTTGTAATTGAAATTACCAATTAGAAAAGTATAAACAGTTCAAGCTTAGGCTTGCATAAAATGTAAAGAAATGGATTTCCATGATATACTAAGATTTTTTAAAACTGACAATACGAAATACACATGGGAACTTGCTGAGGTGATAATAGAAGAAAAAACTGAGGCAGTAGCATGAACTGAGTGAAGAACAAAGAGAACGAGGAGAGGGTCTTCCACTTGAGCAGCTGGAGGAGAGGCAGGACACACAGTGTAGGGCAGCTTGGCCACCTTGCAAGGAGCCTGGACCAGGCCTTCCTGGCCCCACTGGAGTGGGCTGGGGGCTACAATTTTCCACTGGGTCACAAAAGTGGCATTTTGAAACTTCTTCCTCAGGTTAGCGATCTGGTGCTAGTGTACAGTATGGATCAGCAGCTCTTTTCTTCTCTCTGAGACATCAGGTGCCTCCTGATATTACAGCAGAGCAGGTCCTTGGTCCTAAGGATGATGAAGCTGTTGGTGAGGAAGGAGAGGGGGAAAGGGCATATCTTCACCCTCAGCTGCCAGCAGGTGATGGACTAGGAACCCGAGCCCAGGACCACCCCCTTCTCCTATCCCATGTGGGTAAATATCCTATGTCACTTGAAAAGAAAATTCCAAATGATATTGGCAGGACAGACAGAATTTAGGCAAATGCACACAAATGGAAATTTTCACAACTTTACAAAATCTTTAAATAGACTCCCCTCACCCCTAATCTTTTGTTTGAGAATTAGGTTTGTTTCATAGAAATTAAAATCAAGCAAATGGAATTATTTGTATATATACTAAGTAAGTTTGAAACAATTGACAAATTCTTTACATTTTCTACATTATAAAGTGTCCCAAGCTGTGCAATAACCCTCCCTAGAGCACTGTGTATGAGTTGCCTTCTATAACTGATCGTTTTTGCTCATTGGGCTTTAGATATTGTCTGGGAGCATTACAATAAGCTACACATTTAAAATTTATGTTCCCACCACATATGCCTTCAGCATATCTACTGTCATTATCTTAGGAGTCTTTCTATCCTTAGCAAAAATGTTAAAAAATAATTTTAGAATTTATCTACCTATGAGCACAGAGGAGAAAAAGTAATATATTTTTCTCCTCCATCCAAAAGTTTATGGCTACATCCTCTATAACAAAAGACAGATTCACAACACAAAAACATAAAATTATTTAATGCAAATTTTGCATGGCATATAACCTTCAGAAATAAATAGCCACAGAGACAGAGAAAACTGTAATTTTATGGTCACATAGAAGTATACCTGGAAGGCAGGAGTGATCACAATTTGGGTGAGGGGACTATGTAAATTCTGTTTGTACAGAATTTTTCTTTGTGTCTTTGTTTCTTTATTTCTTTCCTCCAGAGGTATACTAAGTGAAACTGGAAAGTCAAGAGTACAGGTGCCCCTCACTAAAATTATATTGGTCATTTACTGAGACAGAAAGTTGACTTAGTTTGTCTATAGTTTATCAGTAATGTAGAGCAATGAAAATTCACTAAGACGTAGAAAAGAATAGCATTACTAATTGAAAACACTTTCTTGAGTATTTACATTTATATTTCTCAGTGCGTTTGGAGAATGATATCGTGTAGAAAATGTCCTAGCTCACTAAAGTCAAACACTGGGAACTGGACAACAGATGCCTGTTTTCTGAGCCCTGGGATGAGCACCAGGAGGAAGAAACAGAAATTACCATATTTACTTCCTACTCCACTCTGCGATGCCTAGCTGCGGTGGGGGCTTTCTAAATGCCTGCTCAATAAATGAATGACTTCACAAAACCCAGTCAATAAGCTCCTTCATTCCTTATTTGTGCTGGGAAAGAGAAGCAAGATGCTTTAAAATGTTGATATAAATTAAAAATTAATAGTCTGAAAACTTTTTTAGGTAGAAAGCTAAACCTCCTCCTGCATCTAAGCTATGTAGTAAACCCAGCTTGTGAAAACAGATTCTCAATACAAGCATAAGCAGCTTAATTTTGTGGTTATCATCACTGTGATCCTTTCCTTTTCTCCCTCATCCACATTTAGGAAACCATCCAATTACATCCTAGCATGGGCAAAATAATGGGAGAATAGGCTGCTAAAGAATGTGGCATTCATTAGTGAATTCGAACAATGTTGTAAGACCTCATACACCTTAATAAGTCCCAGAGCTCCGCAGCTCCTGATACTGAAAATGAAACAGCGGCTGTAAGGCACTATGAAGCCAGAGAGCTTTGTTCAGCTGAAATTTTAAACATCTTTAAATAGCTGATATATAAAGAAATAACTTAGGGTTGGAGGATGCTGAATTCAGTCAAGTGTGTACTCTTACAACCAAAGAATTCCTTTTTGAGAGAGAGCCACATTATATTTGGATAATGAAATTAAATTAATTAACTTAGTGACACAGTGTGCAGATTTTGAAACCCAAAAAAGCGTGATGTTACCTGAGCATGAACCAGAAGCTCTGGTCTCCACACTCAGACCAAGATGACAGTGTAATTCGTGCCATGTTGTGACATTTCGTGGGCATTTGGTCATTCTGACGTCTGTGATGCCCTGAAACGGGCCTGTAGTGGTGCGAAACAAAGGATACTCATGTCTATGGTGAGCATTTTAGTCTCAGTCACAACCTTAGTAGGTTAAATCAAAACTCTACTCAGCATTGAAATTGTAACTTCTGTTTTTCCTCCTTTCTCTCTCCCCGTCTCCCTTCCTCCCTTGCCCTACCCCTTTCTCCCTCTCCTCTGTTTTCTCTTTCACCTGAGTCACATACACAGGCATATAATTTAAAAGACAAACTTTTTCACATTTTCTATTTCAGTATTTCTAGAGTGAAAACATCTATAAATGAGAGTAATAAATTCAGAAATTGTAAAAGGCATGATTTCCATTTAATTTCCATAATTTGTGCCTAGGTAAAATGTGGAATATGCAAAAATTTTTAATAGTAAGGGATGACTGTAGCTTTCCTATAACAGATATAATTCCTAAAATCTTTTTTTAGCACCTACTGTCAGATGTTTTAAATGTCAGAATTTACCTCATTGAATTATGGATGGAAATTAATACTAACGTGTTTTTCCAGAAAATAGACTTAAAAGACATATATTTCAGGAAGAGAAAGACAAATATATACCAGAGAACATTTTAGTAACAAAGCTTGGCTATTCTTTTAGATGATTATATTTGCTTGTTCAGTTTAGTATTTATAAAGTAACCAGAATATCATTTGAATATTAAAGATTGAGAGTGCATATATTACCACCAAACTGCTCTAAAAGTGTCATCAGCCACAAAGTTCTAATAAATGTATGACTGAAAAAGGTACAGCTGCAATAATACATGACAGTAGATAAAAGTATTACTATCATTACCAAGAATATAACATTGCAAACTTCAATTGTGTGGTTGGTTCATTAATAAAATGTTCCTTCACTGAATATACATAAACTATCCTTCTATCAACATATAATCTTTCCCCAACATATAATCTTTCCTCCCTCCCTCCCCCTCTCCTTTTCTCTCTCTCCCAGAACTCACCCTCACAGGCACACACTGAGAAAAGACCTTGTGAGCACATGGAGACATGTTCGTTACTATGGACACAAAGTCCACTTCCACCAACATCTTGATCTGAGACATCCCAATCTCCAGAACTGAGGCATGAATGTCTGTTGTTTAAGCCACCAAGGAAATGATATTTTGTTAAAGGAGCCCAACAGGGAGTAAAATTCGAGGGATTTTGTTAAGAGAAATAAATCTTTTCTTAATAAAACGGGTCTTTGTGTCATGGAAATATAAATCAATCTAAATTTACTAGGAGAGCCTTTCCCTCAGAAGGCTGCATCTCCCTGAATGACACCATAATATCCACAAACACTCTCAGCTTCAGGCTCACCAAACATTAATAAACAAGCTACACATGCCAATCACTCTCCTGAGTACCTGAACATGCAATAGATCATTCCTGTCTTCAAAGAAACTCTAAGGATTCTATTTCCCCATTTTACAGCAGATGAAACAGGCATGGGAACCTTGCTCAAGGTCATATGGAAATTAAGTTTTGGGGCAAGATTAT